TTTTTCTTATAAAAGTTTAAATAAAACATAAATATTGGTGGTAATTTTTGACTGTGTAACTTTACAAACGGCACCCTCATTTAAACTCAGAATATAAAATTCTTGTTTCCTGATATTTGCTGTGAGCTGAACTGAAACAAACATCAATTTTTCAACACTTGTCTCTTTCCACCATTTTTGTTCTGTTTCAACAATTCATAAATCTAAACATTCAGCTCCTTCTGGACATTTCAGCTATAACTTTAGGTATTTTAGCTGTTTATACTTTTTCAGCTATTTCACTTTTTCGGCCACATTTTTCCATTTGAAAATGAGCGGAGCTGTTTTTAACATCCTTAAAATCCCTCTAAGTGTTGCTGAATCTTTACAGAACCTTACATCTGTTGTTCTGCTTCTGCTCTTTAACTTCCTTTTGCTAATTTTAGCTTCTTTTTGGCTAATTTTAGCTTTTTTCTGCTCTTTCACCTATAACTCTGCTTCTGCTAGTTTGAGCTCTTTCAGCTTTTTGCTGCAATTTTAGCTAATTTTCAGCTGTTATTAGCTCTTAGCTTTTTTGAGTTAATTTCTTGTTTTTGGTATCTCTTCTTTCTGCTTTGTTCAGCAAACTTGTGCTGTTTGTACTAATTTAAGAAACTCCAGCTGTTTTACAACAAATTATCGCTGTTTTGTACTTTAATGCTTTTTTTTCAGCTAGTTAGACTTTTTTGTTCCCCTTTCATCATCTGGGTGATGATTTTAACTTGTGTCTGCTACCTTTAGCTTGTTTTTAAGTTCATTTTAGCTTTTTCCTAGTCTTTTCAGCTATTTTTACTGCGAAGTTAAACTTATTTTTGCTTCATTCAGCTTTTCAAATTGAACTCACATGAACTGTTTTGATATTAAACATTTTCAGCTCCATTGCAGCAGCTTCAGTTTTCATCAATCAGCTCTCACACAGTCTCTCTAGTTTTATTTGTGTTATTTCATCACAGATGTTTTATTTATGAGATTTCTATAAAACAAGACAGAAAAACCACCAGAACTAAATGTTTCTGTTATAGTTCTGAATTTAAATAACATTTATTTTTGATAGTTTTGGTCAAAGGCTACAAAGGGAGACGAACCAGAGGTTCATTTACACAAACGTTAAAAAGAACCCAGTAGACCCACTGGTGCGGTTCTGTGGATCTGAACCATGCAGGAGGTTTATGGTCATTTGTTCTCACATCTTTTCTCTTCTCATGGTTCAGATTCTACAATAAGAAGCTTCTGCCTGGGTCGGGTTTAATGAACCCTCCTGTGGAGGTTCCACAGTTCTACATGTTCCACCTGGAGCAGGTTCTAACACAGCTCCTCTCTGCTCTGCAGCTGCTTCCCTCACAGGCTGCCTGCTTTAGTGTCAGGAGCTGCAGGAGGAGCGTCTGATGCTCCTTCATGTGGAGACGAGTCTGACGAGGTCCTCAAAACCAGTCCCGGTACCAGACTCTGGAGTCCTGGAGTCAGAACCAAACTGAAGATATGATGGGATGGATGGACGGACGGATGGATGGATGAATGGATGGATGTTTTGTTGGTTAGTTGGTTGGTTGGTTGGTTGGATGGATGAAATGATGGTTGGTTGGATGGATGGATGGATGGATGGTTGGATGGATGGATGGATGGATGGTTGGTTGGATGGATGGATGGATGGATGGATGGATGGAGGTTGGTTGGTTGGATGGATGTTGGTCAGATGATTGTTGGATGGATGATGGGTGGATGGTTGTTTGGTTATTTGGATGGATGGATGGATGGATGGTTGGTTGGTTATTTGGATGGATGGATGGATGGATGGATGGTGGATGATGTTGGTTGGATGTTGGTTGGTTGTTTGGATGGATGGATGGATGGATGGATGTTGGTTGGATGATGGGTGGTTAGTTGGATGGATGGATGGATGGTTGGTTGGATGTTGGTTAGTTGGTTGGATGGATGAATGGATGGATGGATGGATGGATGGATGAATGAATGAATAGATGGATGAATGGATGGATGGATGGATGGATGGATGGATGGATGGATGGATGGATGGATGAATTCTGGTTTACTTGTTGAACTTCACACCATCTTCATCGTCACATTTTTGTACGGTGAATCTTGTTCTTCGTCCTCTTCCTCCTCTTCCTCTTCCACTTCCTCCTCTGACTCCTCCTCTTCCTGTGTCTGCTCCGGTTCTTCTTCTGTGGTGTTTTGCTTGGCAATGAATGCTCTCTTGGGTCGTTTGGGTACAGCATAGTCGTCCACTCTGGGATTATAGGGGTACTCGTGACCTTTAGGGTCTGATGGGGTACCCATAATCCTCCAGGCGTTTCCTCTCATCTCCTCGGGGTCGTCGTACACCACGGTGGGCGTGGCCTCCTGCCCCGCGGCGGCGCAGCCTTCAGGTTCATCGTAGATGTGGTCCACCTTTCGCTGGACGTTGTCGTCGTTTCTGAAGATGTTGCGGATCATCATCTCGTCGATGCTGTCGTACAGCGGATCCGGTCCGGACCCGTCCGGCTGTCGGAGGTTCAGGATGTCGCTCATCACATTGGAGGCCAGCATGTCGAAGGGGAGGGAGTACTCCTGGACCTTGTTGATCAGAGGTGGGGTACAGGGACCAGGATTACTGATGCCCCTCTTCTCCTTCTTGGCGCTGCGCCCAGCGGCTACAGGCACGTTGATCTCGGAGTACGCCTCCCCCGGGTCCGGGTTGGAGCTCAGTTTGGGGCTGAGGCGAGGGTTGGGCGTGGCGTTTGAGCCGGGGCCCGGGGACAGGTTGGAGCCAGACTCTGGGCTGGCGTTGGGCAGAGGACAGCTGGAGATCATCTTGACCTGGCTCTTTCGAGGGACGGGAAGTCCTCGAGTGTCCAGAGTCAAACTCTTCACTCCGGTCAGGATTTTATCGACCGGAGGCTCGAGACGAGACTGAAAACCAGACAAGTAACAGTTAGACCGGATTATTTTACTTATTAAGAATAAAGAAAACTTTGTTTGTTGCTCTTCCCTTCATTTAAACTAAAACATAAAACGATGAGTTCTCCTGACAAACGTGAGAACTTTGTTTACATTTCCTGGTTAACCAGCTGATACCGTTTCTCACCATCGGGGGGCGCTGCTGCTGAGAAGGATTCTCATCTTTGTTGTGAAACGTCTGCAGGTTCTGAGGAGCCGTCACCATGCTGTACACCTCATCAGCCTGCAGGCAGAAAACATCCAACACTTTCTATTCCAGGTGAATAACGAGCTGTTACTTAATATTTAACGAGCTTCACCTTAATTAGCTTCACATTAACTACTTCCACCTTAACTACCTCCACCTTAAAACACTTCACATTAACTAGCTCCACCTTCACTAGCTCCATCCTTAACTAGCTTCGCCTTAACTAGCTTCACCTTAACTATCTCCAACTTAACTACCTCCAACTTAACTACCTCCACCTTAAAACACTTCACATTAACTAGCTCCACCTTAACTAGCTCCACCTTAACTACCTCCACCTTAAAACACTTCATATTAACTAGCTCCACCTTAACTAGCGCCGCCTTAACAAGCGCCACGTTAACAAGCTCTGCCTTCACTAGCTCCATCCTTAACTAGCTCCATCCTTAACTAGCTTCGCCTTAACTAGCTTCACCTTAACTACCTCCAACTTAACTACCTCCAACTTAAAACACTTCACATTAACTACCTCCACCTTAACTACCTCCACCTTAAAACACTTCACATTAACTACCTCCACCTTAACTACCTCCACCTTAAAACACTTCACATTAACTACCTCCACCTTAACAAGCGCCATGTTAACAAGCTCTGCCTTCACTAGCTCCATCCTTAACTAGCCCCATCTTAACTAACTCCACCTTAACTACCTCCACCTTAACTACATCCAACTTAAAACACTTCACATTAACTGGCTCCACATTAACTAGCTCCACCTTAATTAGCGCCGCCTTAACAAGCGCCATGTTAACAAGCTCTGCCTTCACTAGCTCCATCCTTAACTAGCTTCGCCTTAACTAGCTTCACCTTAACTACCTCCACCTTAAAACACTTCACATTAACTAGCTCCACCTTAACTAGCTTCACCTAAACTAGCTCCGCCTTAACAAGCGCCACGTTAAAAAGCTCTGCCTTCAATAGCTCCATCCTTGACTAGTTTCACCTTAACGAGCTCCGCCTTAACGAGCTCCACCTTAAGGAGCTCCGCCTTAACGAGCTCCATCTTAACGAGCTTTGCCTTATGAGCTCCACCTTAACGAGCTCCGCCTTAACGAGCTCCATCTTAAAGAGCTCCACCTTAATGAGCTCCATCTTAATGAGCTTTGCCTTATGAGCTCCACCTTAACGAGCTCCGCCTTAACGAGCTCCATCTTAATGAGCTCCACCTTAACAAGCTCCGCCTTAACGAGCTCCGCCTTAACGAGCTCCATCTTAACGAGCTTTGCCTTA